CTCCTTACAAGAACGCGATGCCCTCCTAGCTGACGTCCACCTTCGCTTACAGCAGGCCCAGCTCCGCATGAAGCTCAACTATGACAAACACCACCGGGAACTGTCATTCGATCCAGGACAATTTGTTTGGTTAAAACTCCAGCCCTACCGGCAACGCTCCTTGCGCCACAGGGCTGCCCCGAAACTGGCCCCTAAGTTCTATGGGCCCTTCAAGGTTCTACGACGGATTGGTAGTGTGGCCTACCAGCTGGAATTGCCAGAGACCAGCCGGATTCATGATGTCTTCCACATCTCCTTGCTGAAGCCATTTATGGGTGTTCCTCCGGACCAAGTCCCCTCCCTGCCACCCTTGAAAGATGGCAAACTGGTTCCCCAACCTAAAGTTGTCACCCGCTCTCGTTTCAATCGTGGAATTCTTGAAGTCTTGGTGGAATGGTGTAATTTACCATCAGCCGAAGCCACATGGATCCCATTGACAGAGTTCCACGCCACATATCCGGAGTTCGAGCTTGAGGACAAGCTCGTAGTCCAGGAGAGGAGTAATGTTATGGACGCATTCCTCGGGAAGACGTACCGTCGCCGCCGGCAACAATAGGAACCTGACCCACCGCCAGCAGCAGCAGTGATTCATTGATTCTCATCCTACCCAGTTCGGCAACAGCAGCCTTATCTAGATTAGATTAGATCATCTTGCTTGTTCTTATCTTATTGCTCTCATCTTATCTTGTTAGTAGACTATCAGATTAGGATTAGCTTATCTTATCCTTAGCAAGATAGAACTGGAAGTCTCCCTATTCAGCAAGGAGACTCCCTAGATTAGGACTCTTGTAATCTCCTATTTAAGGAGACACCATTATTGAATGAAGATATCGAATATTCAGTTAAAGAAGTGAGTTAGGAGAGTTGGTGATCTCTTGAACAAATCACCAGAGGCGCCAAGATAGGTTCATCAAGAGCAGGAAGGAACAAGGGAAAACAGGAGGTTTTCCCCGTGGACCGACCCGTGATGAGATCCTATTCCCGGGCCCTCAACAGAAACTGACCAAAAACAACTTCTAATTGTTTTAGAACTAAGATAAATCAATAGATGACCCATAAAGACACTCCGATGAGGACTCAAATTACTAAAAATACTTTCCTAATCCTACTAAGACCAACTTAATTTAAAGACACCATAAATTACCAAAACCTAGTAATCCATGAGTTTACTAGTAATTATGAAAATTGCAATAAATAGTAAGTCTGAAAGTTAACAATAAATAGTAGTTTCAAAATAACAGAAACTAAGTAGACTCCACTTTCAGCTTTTGCCAGTTCTTCTACCATAAATTTCCTTCAAGACAAGAATGAGGACCATTCTTCCTTCTCTTCAAATCTGCCCAACCCAAGGTTAAAATGGGCTTGAAATGACAAAAGAAGCGAGGGACGACTTAAGGCTTTGGGTAATAGCATGGGCTACCCAACTGGCTTATCTGTGGACATGCCAAAAGGTCACACCCTGAAAAAATCGGACTTCTATCTAGGATGTCTGCAATAATGTTGCAGTAGGTAGTAAATTTGTCCTTGTCCGGGAATTGCATACTTGAAATGAAGTCCGTGGAGTCTGATTCAAGAATTACAGACATAAGGTTCAGACAGGCCACCTCTTGGGCCTCAAGCCAAAGGGTCAAGATCTCCGCTGCCTGAGCTGAATCACAGAGTACCTTGGGCTTGGAGCCAGATGCATAGATAAGAGTAGCATCACTACTTCTTAGTTCTGACCACACACACCAATGAAGCTTGAAGCGTATTGTGGTCAAAGCCAGCATCACTATTGATTTTCACCCATCTGGATGTGGGGACCACAACTCATTCAAGCCCAAAGTGGTTGAGCCTGTCATTGCTGAGGAACCCTCCAGGAAAGATCTTCATATAGCAATAGGCTTCTTCTGATAATGTTGGAGGGTCAAAGGTGTTGCCTTCGAAAAACATAATCCTTCTTTTCTTTCCAACATATAATTGCCGTTAAAGTTACATGATTCCAACTATCATCAAGGATAGGTCTCACTTCCTTGAACCATGACTTGACCCACTCATCAGCAAGGAAGAAGCCTGCACCTCATCTGAATGAAGGCCAAAAGGGCTAATTAGCCATGTGTCTTGAGCCACATGGTAATGGAGCAGAACATGCAATGTGTCCTAAGTCACTCCATCACACTGCTGCCAATCAAAGGCAACTGATATTCAACAGCAGGTAAGGTTGGCTGCCACTGCTAACGCATCACAACAGGCTCTACAGATGAATTTCTTAATCTTGTGAGTAACTTAGATGTGCCAAATAAGGCTCTACAGATTGGGCCCATAACCAGTCTAAGTCTGACCATTGTTGTGGTTGTGCTGAGTAAAGGATTCTTTCTATGCAAGGTGATAACCCGACTTAATCGTGTACGTGCGATTTTCGCCCACTACCATATGAGTCAGTCCGCCCAATCAAAAGCTCAAGAGGATAGCACAGATTGCCTTGACTTCTTCTGGGGTAAAGTGGGAAGTGAGGAGTGTCATGTTCCATCTACATGGGTTTTGCAGCATAAGTTCATCAACAATTCAACAGTGAAGATCCTGGAGCTAGATGGGCAACCCAAGGGGATTCTACCATGGAGAAGCAGAGGAGCCCAAGCATCAACCCATATTCTAACCTTCCTACCATTTCCCAATATGCCAAATAATACCATTCCTCAAGAGCTCCATCACAAAGCATAAGCTTTTCCAGCACCATGAGGCATTGCTGTTGTCCTGGGCTTCAAGCAAGACATAAGCTTTTCCAGTATAGACTGCTGCATCATATACATTACCAAATAACCTATTCTATTACTTGTTTCTTTCTAAATATCAGTATTCCATATTAATTTCTATGTTTGCAGTTTTCCCCTTATGCTATGTTTGTTTCTCCATACAATGGACATAATATTTTTAAGAATGAAATATTTCAGCTCTTAATTTTGCTAATTTGTTAGTGAAAACTTTGTCTCTTACCACTTCTAATTTGTTTTGATGTAAATGGCAAGGAAAACAAAGTTCCCATTGTAAAAGGTGCAAAAATATAGTTGAAAGTTGAAACATTCCAACCTGAAAATTTTCCACCCATTTTACATTGAAACAAATGGAGCCTAGTGTAAAAGGCTGTCAAGGCCCAAGGGGCATGAATAAAATAGAACCTCTTATACTGAAAAAGAAATGTTCAAGTAAATGAATAGCCACAGACCAAAGATCCCAAAATAAAGAATATAAAAACTCAGTTGTTACAGGCCCAGCCCAGGAGTGATAGCTCAAAATAACATCGCTAGAGTCATCAAAGATTTATCCCTTGTTAGGTGGATGAAAGCGCATAAAACTTTACTTCGTTCTAATAAGTCATAATTGCCTCAAACTTTGTATGCACCATCTTTGACATTCCAGACTGAGATTCAGTTTGTAATCTAAGCAGACAAAGTAAACCAACTGGCTTTTAGGATCAGTATCTAATTAACAGTGTTCCTAATGTGCACGGCATTCCCAATTTTCTAAGGATTGACCAAAACCCGCCCCGGGATAACTTGCCAAGTTTCTTTTTCCCCATTACCCAATAAGCAGTAGTTCAAGGATTTGTGGGTAAACATAGTCTAAGCCCATGCTGCCCAGCTCCATAACAACCATGTTTGTAACCAACTTAGCAAGAAATCATGTCCTAAGACTTCTTCCTAAACCTTCTTCTTCAAGGTTCTACCTGTAACTTGTACATGAGTTTGGAACTCCTACAAGAAGGAACTCCTAATAAATTGTGATTCTAGTAATTCTGAACCTGGATGACTTTTGAACTATGAATCAAAAAGGAAGGGATAACAGTTTAAGGAAAATGGATGTCTCTCTATACCACATCTTTTTAGATTCGCCATTATAGTATAAGGTTATTTATTCTCTTTGAACAGTTTGTATACAACAGAATCATTTAGTCACCTACATATTACTTCTTCAAAAGGCCCTCCATTTTCCCGCTGATGTGCATGTCTGAGTAATATTGGTACCTTTGTTGTCTCCTAGAAAGGGTAAGAATTATATTCAGATACTTTCTTGACTCTCATCCTACATCTCCTTCTTTCATGCATGTCAAACAACAAGTTCCTTGTAGGACTATAGGCAGTTTCCATAAAAGGCCAGAACTTAATTGATAACACCAACCTCCTCTGACAAAAATAGCATAAGACAGTCAAAAGGTTTAAGGATTGTTGGCAAATACGGAAGAAAGCTAGGGTGATAATCAGATGTCAGAACTACCTCTTCCAACCTGAAGAGCACTCCTTCGGAGTGTCAAATACCATACATGACATTTCAAATGTTGTACTAAAGCTAACAGAGTGATGAAACGCAGATATCTATGACAAAGACACAGACATGTAAACCATCAATTTGCCCACCTGGTTTCCATCTCAGCCCCACCATCATAAATTTATCAGTGCAATAAGCTTCACCTATACTTGCTAAAACTTACTCATCCAGAATCTAGCAAAACAACTTGTTACTGTGACAACCAGGAAAACTCAAAATAGAAAATGGAAACAAGCTCAATCAACAGAAAAACTACCGAGAACCAAGTACTCAGTTCTCCTTCACCACTCCTCTCATTTCCCGCTACCTAGTTGTGTATATCTATAAAACCAGCCTTCCAGCCTGGTCACATACTAAGCCACGATTCAGGAATCGTGGCTCGCCCAACATTTCATTCCAGAAACAAAGAACCGTGGCCCCCAAGATACCAATTGATTAGTTCGAGCTCTCTAATTGGGCAAGATAAAAGGGATAGCCCTTCTATATTCATATAGCTGGATCATATTTAGTTATTTACCCCAAAATTCAAGAGACGTCCATCTTAAAATTGTTCAAAGTCAAAACTTTTCTTGGCTTTAATTTTAACTCGACGAAATTCAAACTAACAAGGAACGGAATATAGGGTTTTACTCAAGTGACCATGAAGTAGGCAATATTACCTCTGATAGGAGCGGGCCATGATCTTCCTTTTATGCGCTTGATGCCATACACAAGCAAAGAAGCCCATGGCTGATGCATCGTGAAGCATCTGTAGTTCCCTTGTGTTCTCCCACCCATCCTCTCTCTCTCTAATGTTCAGACTTCATACTCCAGACATGCATGCAGGTCTCTCCCAGCCTTCATGCAGGGAACAAATAACTGACGCAACGGAAAAAGACACTAATGCCCTTCGGCCTTGTGGCATATGAAAAGATTTCCTTCGATTGTCATTTAATTTTCTTTTATCAATCATCCAAATACCCGCATTTTTCTTTATCAATTATACAAATGCCTAAATCTCTTAGACGTTAACGTCGTCCATGCATATGCCATTCTTATACCGGTCACTGACGTCATTTCTGTTCAAGATGATCCTGGGCATTAAAGTCATCAGCCTTACAAATAGATAAAAGATTACAGAGAAGAAGAAAGAATAGCATCTCCGATTACGTCTTTAGTTTTTGTTTAATCTCCAATCAACTCTGATTCAAGGGAACCCAAACAACGGTGGTTGTCAAATTTAATCTGGTGGACACCAATTAGCCTTTACCCATTCGTCGCTACTACGGGTCTGGGATGTGTCTACCGTTGTCATGTAAGTCTTCTTCAGCTTTCTTTCTTGCTTACCGTTGTCATGTAAGTCTTTCTCAGCATTCTTTTTTCCTTGTTTTCGAGAAATCATTTGGATAAGGGAAATTCCCGACAGGTACTTTCGGACGAGTGCCAATTTAGTATTCCAAGTTTAAAAGGCGACAATCTAGTAGTACCCCAACTTTTGAAATGCCACAATTTATTACTTATTAATGGATTGTCAATTATGTATATTATGTGACCTAAAATGCGATTTAATATTTTAAAAATATCAAAATTATCCTTAAAATAAAACATACTGTTAATTATATTTTTTCTCACGAAAATAAAACAAATTCCAAGCCCTCAACAATCCGGATGAAAACCCAAGAGGCTACTCGCTGCCGCTATCCTCCAAGAACCCAAAACAAAGGAAGCGAAAAAACCCAAACTTCTATCAGAGTCACGATCTACTACACCTTATGTAAATGATATGTTCCACGCTAACCTGTCCAATCATGTCCACTAATTCAACTAATTCAGACCCACTGTTTTCAAAACCGGATCGGACCAGACAGTTGGACCGGAAAAACCGGGAATCGGTCACTTGATCGATTCCATTTTCCTCCAAAACCGCTTTTTCCCCCAAAACCGTTGATTTTGGTCAGTAAACCGTTGAACCGACCGGTTAATGGTTTTGAGTGTTTTTCAATTTTTTTATTTTTTTCGTCATAACGGGCTTGCTGCCCTGACCGGTTCGTTTTAAAAACCATGTTCAGACCAATTCAGCCCCAACTGTAACTAACTTCCAAGTTTCTGCCCAACCCCTCTCCCCCTCCCACTTGATGTCCATCTTAGCTTACTGCTGCTCTCCCCCTCCCACTTGATGTCTATACAATGATGTACGGTATCATCATACAATCTGTGTTTTAGCTCATTCAACATTTCAAGCATAAATAAATAAGCAAAACCCAGATGATCCACCAAAACTATCTGAAGCTACCCAATCCGAGGTAGTGCACAAATTGAGGAGAACAACCAGATAATCTTTGTTGACTGGGCGGTGCCGAGCTTACAAGGATGGTGTCGCACTATGTAACCTACAATCAAGAGAAGTAGTCAGAGGCCCGAGGAGTTGTCCCCAGGTAGACACTACGACTTTCAAGTCAGTGACAAGGCGGTGAATGGTCAGGCCGAGCAATGAGGGTGTTGGTCCGAGCAAAGTAACAGTATGAGTGCTAAAAGTTGGGATTCAATCCCTTACCTTGAGCATGGGGTACCTTTTTATAGCTAGGTTTCGTCTCCTGGTTGGATTATGCTATCGGGGAGATCGTGATGGAGCTCTCTACCGAGGTTACCAAGGTAGAGTCCTACTCCTCGGCGGAGTTGTCTTCCCACCCCTCTTATCCGCGATTGAGCTCATCCATGGGACATGTAGCTGACGTGGCTGGAAGGATGAGACGTGGGGCCATGGTAATAACATAGCTCAGTCAAGCTGAGCCAACGTGGCCGAGCTATGCTGTCGTGGCCGAGCTAAGCTGACATGGCCGGGCTATGCCATCATGATTGGGTGATGACTAGGCGGCCATATATCTCTCAGGGCCAACGCAGCCATGACCCCAACACTATCTCTCTCTACTGACCCAAAAGTCCGCATTTACTGTGATGATAATGGAGTTGATGCCAATGACAAAAACAGCGGTGATGATGAAGTCGATGTCAATGATGGGGATGTGGATGATGATGTTATTGGCTTAAATATGAATAATGCATGCCTCAAACTAGAACTAAATAACCAGTCATGAACATCCCAATACACTTCTACTCTAACTTTATGAATGGCGATGGATTGATTACCTCTGAATTTGAGGTGAAGGTGTTTGACATGGATGGCTAACTTCCCATCTACCTTTATCTCCCAATATTTACATAACGGGATCAGACATAGAATTGGAATTCTATAAAACTTGTATTGTAAAAAATGCAAAGAAACAATATTCATTAATTGGATATCAAAGGTTCAATTATGATTAAATTGAAAGTCAAACCGTAATGATATAATATAACTTCTATACTATATATATATATATATATATAAAGTAAAGTAATCCATGTCAAATGACATATCCTTTATTCAAACCCTTTTCTTGCTTTTACCTTAATTTCTCTCTTTTTCCATTGTCATCACTCCTAATTTGCCAAGTCAGGAACTCCTCTAACAGTGTTACATTGCTTTGTTTTTTGACAATCCAAGAGACAACTATATATATAATATATTAATCTTTATCTACGCTACTCTTTAGCAAGTGAGATATCATATCTCCGATCATTCAATAGAGATCCTTTGAACGCACTTTGACTATTGCTTTGTGAAGACCACTCCAATATGTTTTCATGTTTTTTCATTTACATAAACCCCATGGCAACTATTGGGTGTAGATGACGACCACTAGCTAGGTTAATGGGTAGTTATATATGACGATGGTAACAAACAGTAGTGACGACCGAAGATCTAATCTCAGATCTCCTATCAAATCTCGTAGATTTCTCTCTCTCTCTTACATATCAAATTTGATTTAGATCTGAGATCTCATTACAGTTCCTTTGCCATCTCTCGATCCCCTCTTTGTTAAGCTCCCTTAAAAAATTAAATAACATTTTATTAAACCATGAACCACTACCCAGGTCGAACAATTTAGCAGTTCAACCATCTCAGTGGTTTTCTAACTAATTCAACATTTTTTTAAAAAAATAAATGGTCCATCTGAAAATCAGATCTGGAGATATGACTATTTCTCAGGTCAAACAATTCGACCATTTGATCTGGTCCAATCCGGTTTTCAAAAAATTGTTCAAAATAACTACTTAAATACTTTTATTATTATAACTAATAAAATAATTAATATCATGTTGAGTTCTATTTATATCCAGATGTTGAAAATTATATAAAGTTATTATTGTATATTTTCAGTAATTTTCAAATTTCCAGCCATTTTAATATGTTTAGAATTTTTTATATTTTCAATAATTAAATTTTTATCTATATTATTGAAAATAACTAAAGCTATCTTTAGTAATTTTACTATTTTTAGAAAATAATATTCTTTTAGTTATTATTATAGGGTCAGTTGAAATAATAATTTTCAATAATAATTATTTGTTAGTTATTTTATATTTATTATTGGTAGTCATTATCAACAGATAATTAAATCAAAATGAAAATATGTTGAAAACTATTGAAAAATAATGATAATGAATAAAATTTATTTTGCTGAAATTAATTTTCCACTGAAAAATTATTGGACGTCAACTAATCGTTATTGAAAAGTTACAAGAAATATTGAAAATTTACTGAAAATCCAATATCAGTTTTCTAGGATTTAATTTTATTTGATTAAATGCATTATCAAATTTAATTTACGAAAACATTACTCAAAATTATTGAAAATGTGATTACCAAAATGAAAATTTGATCAAGCAAAAGTTATTGATACTAAAAGTTATTGAAAATTTATTTTTCAAAGTTTACTAAAACTTATTTGAAATTTATTGAATTTTATAAAAAATAATTGAAATACAATAAACACAAAATGAAAAAGATACTGAAAATTATTGAAAATGCTGAACACGAGGAATATACTGAAAATGCCAAAAGTTAAATTGTTTCTTGCTGAAAATTAATGAATTACTGAAAAACAGTGAAAATATTATTGAAAATCAACCAAAAGTTATTGAAAATTAATGGCAATTATTGAAAACTAGTTGTCCAAAGTTTACTAAAATTTATTGAAAAAAAAGTAAAATCTAATGAAATAAAACAAACATAAAATGAAAACATTACTGAAAATTATTGAAAATCTATCGAAAATGCTGAACATGTTGAAAGTAATGAAAATGCCAAAAATGATATCATTTTTCGCTGAAAATTTACTAAAAAGCTTAGAAAATATACTGAAAATTATTGAAAATTAATGATAATTAATTTTTCAAAGTTTACTAAAATTTATTGAAAAAAATAAAAAACTATAGAAATAAGACAAACATTAAGTGAAAAAAATTACTGAAATTTATTGAAAACTTATTGATAATGTTGAGCATGATGAAAATACTGAAAATTCCAAAAATTAAATTGACTTTTGCTGAAAATTAACGAAAAAACAAAACCAACAATAGATATGTAAATGCACATTATTTGAAAATTAATTCTGAATGCAATGATTTTTGAAAATTATTAAAAATTATTGAAAGTTAATGAAAATTAATTTGTTAAGTTTTCTGAAAATCATTTGAAAATTATTGAAAAAAGAAAATGAATATTATTAAAGACATTATTAAACAATAGAAGAAAATGCAAAATTACTGGAATATATTGAAAATAGTTAAAATTAAAGAAAAACAATGATAATGCACAAAGGTTATTGAAAATTGTTAAAAATGAAAAATAAAATGCTGAAAATTATTATAAAATTATTGCAAATGCTAAAAATACTGGGACTGCAGAATAATTCTGAAAAATAA